CTTCCTCTTTCTCGTCTCAGCTTGTCTGAACGCGCGAGCGCCTGTAGGGTTGCACGAAGAAGGGGAGAAAGGCTAGAAGGACGTTCTTTGGTAGAAGGATATCAGGGGGGGGGGCACGAGCCATGCGTAGTGCAGGGAGAAAATTTTGCCACCTGCGCATGACGTCATGTGGGTGACAGTCGTTAGTTCTCGGCGTTTGTTTACATTCGTTGCATTTGATCTGTGATACATTTGATTTGTGTTGTTAATTTGCTTTTATAAGTAGTCGGAAATGGCAAGTTGTGCTATAGCGTTGTGTCAGAATTATAGAAGGAAAACTAAAAGTCAAGGCATCACATACCATCGTTTTCCAAGTGATCCAGAACTTCGTAAGTTATGGACTAATCGCTGCAAAAGAGCAGATAATTTCAACATCGAAAATGCCAGAGTATGTGCTCTTCATTTTTACACCTGATGACTACGTACGAGATCTAAAGGCAGAATTGCTTGGTTCAACTCCTAAAAGGGTGCTGAAAGCCAATGCTGTTCCCACTTTACATCTTCCGTCATCATCATGTGAAAATAACTCATCAATAAAGTATATATGTTGTGCTTCAAAAACTGAACCTAATCTGGAGAGAACGTTTTCTAACAGGAATGAGTCATCTAAATTTATGCTAAAAAGGGATAGAGCAAGCAGGTGTCAGGCTCGGGGAACAAGGAAACGAGCATTGGAAAATTTAGCTTCCCTTTCCCCCAAAAAGAAAAAACTACAAGCTGATAAGATAGACTGTGCAACTCAGTTTACATCCAGTGACACATCTCATTTAGTTGAGCGTGTGCAAATCTTAGAAAAGGAAAATAAGAGATTAAATGTGTTGTGCAGTCAATTGAAAATGCAAAAGAAAATTATTTTTACTGAACTTACTGCTTCTCGTAGAAAATTGCGTAGCTATCAGAAAATGAGCAGGAAAGTAACAAGCAAACAAGTACATAGTGCAGTTAAAAAAATTTTAGGGACAATTTTTACGGACAATCAAATTCGCTTTCTCATGTCAAATAAAAAATATGTTAAGTGGAATGCAGATGACATTTGCAAATCTGCAACACTTAGGGCAGTATCCAAAAGATGCTATAACTATCTCAGACAAAAAATGGGATTTCCATTTCCTAGCATTTCGACTTTGAAGAGATGGGTATTTTGTTCATTTCGCTGTTCTCCTGGTTTGCTACACGATGTAATTCATGTTATGCGTGCTGGGGCATTACAGATGACAGACAAAGAATGTATGTGTGTTCTTTCATTCGATGAAATGAACGTGGATAGTAGAATCTGTTATGACCAAGCAGAAGATAAGATTGTTGGCCCACATAGAAATGTTCAAGTAGTAATGGTGCGAGGACTTCTTGCAAGCTGGAAGCAGCCAATATATTTCGACTTTGATACGCAAATGACGGCAGAAATATTGAAAGATATAATAATAACATTAGCAGAAATTGGATATTATGTAGTTGCAGCTGTAGCTGACTTGGGTGGTAGAAATCGTGCTGTGTGGACAAAACTTCAGATTACTCATCTGAACAGCAGCTTTTCACATCCCCAGGACTCTAGTAAACGTGTGTGGGTGTTTGCTGATGTGCCACACCTTTTGAAACTTCTTCGTAATCACTTTTTGGATGACGGATTAATGCTTCCGGGAAATAAATTAATTACAAAAGAACCTATCGAAAGATTGATATCGATGGATTGCAAAGAAGTGAAAATTTGCCCAAAGTTGTCCGTAAGTCACATTTCTGTTAAAGGTAATGAACGCCAGCGTGTGCATTTAGCTGCGCAGTTATTTTCAAACCATACTGCACAAGGTATCCGCTATCTTATACCAGAAGAAGAGGAAACTGCAATTTTTTTTGAATTAGTGAATAATTCATTTGATATTCTTAACTCCAGGAAACCTGTCTCTGATACAGTGTTATCTTGTGCGTATGGGATACATGAAGAAATCCAGGAGAGAACCTTAAAGAAATTTTATGCTTTTTGTGAAGACATGAGAGTGGGCAAGGCAAAGCACCTATTACCATTTCAGAAAGGATTTATGATGTCGATTACATCACTGCTGGGGTTATTTTCTGATTTGAAACAATTAGGAGTTAAATACCTTTTAACTTCCAGACTAAATCAAGATTGCCTGGAAAATTTTTTTTTCCCGAATCCGCGGTCTTGGCCATTTCTATGATCATCCACTGCCCGTAGACGTGAAGTATCGAATGCGTCTTTTATTGTTAACTAATAATTCCTACCAGATTTCACTTTCTAACACATCTTCTGTTGCTCCTGATGAGGAGGAAGATGCATACATTACTTCCAACTTTTTTGGTAATATTTTACCTGACATGACTGAAGCTCTGAAGATGTTAGACGGTGAAACTGAGATGAGGGATATTGTTTTTGATAATTCTAGATTGACCCTTGCAAGTGAACCTGCAGCTGACTGCTCTGTAGAGGGTTTTCGGTACCTTGCAGGCTACATAGCCTACCGTGGAAGAAAATATGACCATTCTTTGGGAACACCTACAGAACAATTGCTCCATCTGCCTTCAGATGAACACGTTGGTTGGATAGAAACGCTTTCTCGTGGTGGTTTACTTGTTCCATCTGAGGAATGGTTAAAAAAAATAAGTCAATTTGAAGTAGTGTTTTTGTAAGTGAACATGGGAAAGATGGTCTTTCAAGAAATAATAACATTATGCAAACTATGTGTAAAAAAATTGCACAAAAGTTTCCTGATGTGCATAATGAAATCATTAAAATATATGTTAAGACACGAACATTTATACGCTTGAGGTATTTGAATACAGAAATGAAAAAGAAGAAAAGAAATAAGGCTGATATGAAAAAGGCACAGAAGTGGATTGCATCATCTTTATAACTCCTCCTCATATTACATCCTACTCATATATGAAGATACTTTTCAATAGCAGCCAGGACAGCGATTGATGATGATGAAGAAGTTCAAAATGTTAATGAAAATGAGTGTAAAAAATCATTGCCAGTTAAGTCAAATGCATATGATTCTTTACTACACAGTGTCGAGTTTGAAGATAGTGTACCAGAAAACATTTCCCATGCATTTACAAAGATGTGAGGCTTCTTATGACATGATCCCAACAATCAAAACAAGCTTTCGTGTTTTAGGGAAAGTATTCTGCCACTGCAAATATCCTCTTCGCAAACATTTCACATTGGCAAATTTAATAATAATATTTTGTCAAACAATTTTTGGCATTTTAAAGAAAGAAACTTGCTTTAGAAGACTGTGTTGTAAAATTTATAAGTGAATACCATTAACATTAAGTACAAGATGTCTGAAATGGAACTGTAATGCTACCAGATTAGAACCATCATTTACTTCCAGATATGTTACAAAAAGGGAGCTACAGAATGTCAACAAAACATGCATACAACTTTAGGTACTAATGTTGCATCATATGAGACTGTGAATGTTTGATATTGAAAGTTCAAAAACAAGGGCTATGGCTCAAACAAGGACTCAAAACAAGGATTACTAATATTTTCTCAAACAATTTTTGGCAAAGAAAGAGATTTGCTTTAGAACAGTGTGTTGTGAATTGTATTAAAATATCATTGTGTACAAGGTATCAGAAAGAGAACTATCACACTACCGGATTAGAACCACCACTTACTTCCAGATATGTAGCAAAAAGTAAGCTACAGAATGTCAACAAATCATATGTACAGCTTTAGGTACTAATGTTATATCATATGACACTGTGAAGGTTTGGTACCGAAAATTCAAAAATAAGGACTATTACACTCAAGAAGCATAGTACTAGAAAATAGTGTACCAAAAAAACATTTTCTATGCATTACAAAGATGTGAGACTTCTTACGACATGAAATGTCTTTCCCAACAATCAAAACAAGCTTTCGTGTTTTAATGAAAGTATCCTACCACTGCAAAAATCTTCTTCGCAAACATGTCACATTGACATATTTAATCATATTTTGTCAAACAATTTTGGTGTTTGAAAGAAACTTGCTTTAAAACACTGTGTTGTGAAATGTGTAAAAGAAATATCATTTATCATTGAGTACAAGGTGTCTGAAATGAAACTATTTCTACTATAGTTGTGTTACAAAAAGTCAGCTACAGTATGTCACCAAATCATGTGTACAACTTTAGGTACTACTGTTATGTCATATGAAACTGTGAGAGTTTTGTATTGTGAAATGTATAAAACAAATATGTTATCGAATACAAGGTGTCTGAAATGAAACTATTTCTACTACAGATTAGAATCATCTACTTAACTACTCCAAAATAGAATCATTTACTTAACTACTACATCTATTTTAACTACTACAGAATAGAATCATCATTTACTTCCATTTGTGTTGCAAAAAGTCAGTTACAGAATGTCACCAAATCGCGTGTAAAACTTTAGGTATTAATGTAATGTCATATGAAACTGTGAAGGTTTAGTACCGAAAATGCAAAAACAAGGATTATGACATTCAAGGAGCAGAGAACCAGAAAATATTTTTCATGCATTAAAAAGATGTGTGTTTTTCTTATGACATGAAATGTCTTTCCCAACAATTAAAGTAAGCTTTCGAGTTTTAATGAAAGTATCCTGCCACTTCAAATATCCTCTTCGCGAAATTTCACATTGGCATATTTAATCATATTCCGTATATAGGATTAAAGAAAGATTTGAAATTCGAATCATATTTTGTATATATGATTAAAGATTATGCATTTTAAAGAAAGAAACGTGCTTTAGAACACTGTATTGCAAAATGTATTTGAAAAAGAGAGACTTGCTTTAGAACGGTGTGCTCTTAAATTTATAAAAAAATACCATTAAGTACAAGGTGTGTGAAATGGAACTATCACACTACCAGATTAGAACTATAATTTTCTTCCAGTTCTTTTGCAAAAAGTCAGCTACAAAATTTCGCCAAATCATGTGTACAACTTTATGTGCTAATGTTATATCAAATGACACTGAAGGTTTGGTACCTAAAGTTCAAAAACAAGGCTTATGATACTGAAGAAGCAGATCACTCTGGCCAACCTACTGATGTTGATGAGGCCCACCTACGAGAACTTGTTGAATATCAATATGTAACCACTCAAGGGCTTGCGTATGGTCTCGAGAGAGTGAAAGCTGAAGAGTTAGACATTAGTGCCATGTCCATTAGTTGCGCTGAGTATCTCGTAGATTTGACGCACAAGTTCAATTACTGGGTACTGCATGAGATTACTTAATCACACCTGCAGCCACATCTTGCTGGTGCTATCTTCCATTCTGCGCAGGATGTCCAAAATGTAGTTGATCTGCTTTTGAACTCGTGGCCACCAAGTTTATGTGTCGATGATTTTGAAAAACTACCAAAATGTTGACAGAAAATCATAGATTTGTCTGGTGATTTGTACCCGTGCTATATATACTACCTTCATGTTGTTGTTTTTTTCTAGTTTTATGAAGAACGTTTTTGGTGGAAAACTTTCTTTACAACCAGATAAAATAACTGACTATTTTTTAAATGAATTTATGTAGTTTTCATACATAACTTTTATGTAATTTTACATTTATTTTTCATTTTACTTCTATTTTAATTTTTTATCATAATTTTCCTTTTATGAAGTAGACTTATAGCGAGATATTTAATCTCAATGTCGTGTTTACCAATAGTGACTACCTGAATGATTAGTTGATAAATTTGCTTATCTAAGTTAATTCACATGCTTTTGGTTACTTTCTTTACATCCCAAAAGTAATTCTATGTATTGAAGCAATGTCTGGGTTAAGCATTGAGACATAGTAAACTGATACATGCTTCAGAAGAAAGAACAATTTATCGGCCACACTATGATGCAAACATCGATGAGCGAGCGACATATTTCCTTCAATGTTGTTTAACTGATGCATATGCCTGATGTAATTTAATTGATATAACTAAGTGAACTTACACATACCTGACCCTGAAGGAAAACAAATCTGTGTATAATGCTGGAATACAAATAGCGAAAGAGTAAGTAAGATATTCTGTTCAGTGTTATTTAACTGCTGCATATGTTTTAATTTTGATTCCATATAACTAGTTTTTAATTATAAGAGAAAGAAAAATAATTCAATATTTGAACACATATTTTGAGTATAACAAAAGTATTTTAAGAAACAACCTGTTAAAAATACATTAGTCATTAAAAATATTTAATTTGTGTACAGGCTGAATTAAAACTAACATGTGGTGGTGTATTTAATTATGGCAAAGCACACTAGGGCTATCTGCGTAATAGGTGTGATGCCTTCGTGGAGGACTTTCTCAGGGAAACTGGCTCGTATACACACTAAGGTGTAGGGCAAGTTTATTATTGTGCGTATATGTGTAAGAAAATGTATTTTAATTGTTCCATTTTTTATGTATGGAAGGAAGAATAGGATGCCAATATCGAAGATTATTTACCATAGCAAATAATCACGGTCAGGATAAATGTTATATAGAAATCTTGGGAGTGTAAGGGATTATAAGAGTACTTTTAGATTATACTGAAAATATATGCACTTCTGCTAAAATCTGAAGTGAATCAGTATGAAGTGACTTTAAAAATAATGTGATAAGTATACTATTTAAAAGTATAAATGACGAATATTAAGAAATTTGTAGAATTTTATGGTATTTAAATATGAATTTGTTATGTCAAATCTTTTTATATATATTTTTGCTTGAGATATGTAAATTAAACTGAAAATCACGATCATATATTTCTCATGGAATGTCAAAGTTCATTTGTATTAAAAAAAAATGCATGAGCAATGAAATTAAATAGAATAATACTTTTTGATTATGTTTTTTACCATGGTCTTAGGAATTATGCCATCATGTGTTCTGTTCAACAAAATTTCTTTAGTGCAAAACAATACTACGAAAAATATTGAAAAATAGCTTGTTTTACAATATTTATTTCCCTCAATTAACTTAAATATCGTTTTTCATTTCCTAATGCTTTCCTTTATGATAAGAATTTAATGTTTACAATTATTTTCAGCATTCGTACGAATTCTGTGCATAAAATAAACATTGCTTTAACAAAATACTTTATCGGAAAGTATATACCCGGTATTTCCGGTGTATCTACCACATTTAAAATGATTATTTTGCTTTAGTTTACATTACTTCCATTACGAAAATCATGTAGCAGACGCGTCGGCCGATGCGTCTTGTCTCCCGGGTGACGTCACTACCAGCAACCAATGGCACGCTTTTTCCGTTCCTGGCCTAACCTTAGTATATTAAAGAACCTTGGAAGGATATAGCGTAGTTTTATCCCTAGCCCATTTCACATCAGTCGGTTACTGCAGAGCGATGAAGTGGTCTCCCCCTAAGCAATCTTTGGTGCCAGCCAGGTCCCCCTGCATATTGGTATGTGCTAAAATTTATGAAGTTAACTTCAGAGCTGTTAAAATTTAAAGCTGAATTTTTTGGCCAATAATTGCGTTAATGTCCTCTAAATAATAACAAATTTTAAATATCTGTTTAAAATTATTTGGAATATTTTAGATATAAACAGTTTTATTAGAAGATTGCGGAAAAATGTTATTATCTTTATCATATATTTTCTCTGGAGGTCTCTTTTTTACTTCCTTGTTTTTTTTTTAGGGAACAGTACATGAAATTTGTTATTAAAAGAATGGAAACGATGTGTGTGTATTTAAATGCAATATAAAATGGATAATCGGGAAATTATCTTATTTGCTGTATTTTATTTGTCTTCATTTCATGCTGTTATAATCATGAAACTTCTTCAAATAATAATTTTTTTTAACGAAGGAATATTTTGTAAACATACTGGAAAGACATTTAAATTATTTGAAAAATAGTTTAAAATCTTTTCTGTATTTTTTTTCCCAATTACTTTTCAATGAGTTAGTTTTGGGTTTACTTCTGCAAAGAACGTGTTGAAGATAGTGCATTTTTTTATCGCCAGCCTTGTTGACACTAATGGTTTTAGAGATATATGGTTAAGCACTTTTATCATTATTCAAATCTTTTGAATCCTAATTTAAAAAGATGTTAAAACGTTTTTACTTTAGTTTTGAATTCTGTTAGAAGCAATCATTAAAAAAGATTCCAAAACCACAATTTCAGTGGATCTGAATCACCTGTATCCACTGAAACAACCTCAAATATCACAGTTTCCTAGAGAGAATTTAGCATTCCATAACTTGACTGCTACAATTTTTCTAGATACTGATCACTACTATCATCTTTTATGTGATACAAAACATATATTTAAACAACATATTTGGTGCATAGCGAGATATTAAAAATATGTAAGTTAAATTTAGCTATAAATTAGCTGGTTAAATATATTAAACATATTTAAGTCAGATGTAGCTTGTTACATGATATTTAACATAAATAATTCAGGTTTGTAGAAAAGCATAATGTTAAGCATATGAAAGTGAAAATTAGCATAAGAAAGAAAATAAATATAAGTATTATTATTGAAGTAGATTTCTGATTAATACTATTATTATAAATGAGTTTTTTTTTTTTATTTATTATTTATTTTTTTTTTTAACTTTGTATCCAGCAGCACTTCATTTCTCTTTTCAGATTATTATTGCCTTGAAAAAGGTTCCTCCTTTTTTCTAAAACCTTAGTCGCCTAAATTGCCAGAGAATCTATAATTGCGTTTGAAATTTCTGTGAATGGGTCGTGCCATTGTGTTTAACTTCACTCCAGAGTAAAACTAAGTAAATTTTCTGAATAAGTTTGTAATTTTACTTTCAGAGGCTGCTTGCTCAGTTCTGTGGTTTGGTTCTGCACCAGTAGCCTGATTGGCAAAATTTGTAAAATTTTAATAGTCTGCTTAAGAATGATGACAAGATTTGCAGAATTTTAAGATTCTGCCTAAGAATGAATAAGTCCACTATTCATCAATCATAATGGTTGTTCCCTTTACCTCGTGCTTCTTCAGTGGCATCAGATTCTTCGCTAATCCATTGCTTGTTGTGAACGCAATTATTCTTTTGAGATATAATACTGCAAACAAGTATCTGTCTCCAATAACTTCCTTAATTACATGAAAATATTTCAATCTATTTGATTTATGTTAAAAATTTTGAAATATTTTTATCTATGTAAAAAAAAATCATATTGTAAAAAATTTTATAAAAGATAGTATGGAAATCCAACAAATTAATATTAAATAAGTAAAGAATAAATTGCATGTGCCAAAGTGAACAATGTGTTTGATAATACAATGACATCAGTATTACAAATATCACATCCATCCTCCTCCCTTATATTTATTTATTAATATGTCAATAAAATAGAAAATAACTATCTATTAATGTATTCAGTTCATAAATAAAAATAACTCAGCTTGTCATTAATTTTTTTCAATTCATTTTAATTTCATTTCAAATTCAAACTTTCCAAAAAAAACTGGAGTTGGAGTCAACCTGTTTTTAGCGACTCCAGCTCTGACTCCTTTTACCCCAATATCTGCCTGACTCCACAGCCCTGGTTAAGAGAAAGCTCTAATAATAGGTAATGAGTGTAAAGTAAATCGAGAGCGGGGATATTTTCATGAAAAAAAGAACAAAACTTTTGTTGTGCGTATTATCTTAATCTTATTAGGCAGATATTGCATCTTTTGTGAGTGGTATCTATTCAGAAAATATTTAAAAAAAAAAAAAAGGAACATCTAAATGGTGTGAAATGCAATATACCTGGCAGTACACAAGTGAATGGTCTGGTAAATCACTTGAAGTCATGCATGAGAAGTCATTATTGCTTACAAATATGTAAAAATCCTGACTACTATAATGATAAAAAATGGGTGATTAAAGGGTAAATAATGCATTAATCAGAAAGTGAAATACATGTTGCAGCAGGTAAAATTTTTATTGTTGCACTGAATAAGATCCAAATTCGGTTGTTGCATTGCTTGAGAACACCGGTTCTCAACCTTTCGAGTAAGGCGTATCTTCTAAACAGAAATTGAAAAACTTTAGTACCACCACTACATTTTATGATGTATGTTTTCAGTTTCTCAATAGACATATTAAAAAGTGTTTTGCCATTTGCACAACCTATTCGCTATTTGTATTTAAAATGCATGCATAAAAAATATTATATTAAATATTGGTTACCATTTGAATTATGAAAATTTAAGTTATAATATTTTGATTCTGAAATTTAGTGCAAAATTTTGGCCTGTGTAAGACAGATAAATTTCTTAATATTTGGTCTTATTTAGTTTTAACCGTAAATTAAGATCCCTTTTTAATTTTGTTCTGTATTTATTTTTCAAATATAACTTATAAGAAAATCCTTGTTTGCACGAATAGGTTAAGCAAAAAGGCAATAAAAATTTAATACATTTATTTGAAATGCCTTTAAATTCTTTTTTTTTTTTTTTTTTTTTTTTCCCGGTTCAGCCAAAAGTTAACAAGTGTGTTATTTTTGAAATCTTCAGTTAGATTTCAATCACAGTAAATTTCTACCAATTGTTCTTTTTCTTCAAAATTTAAGGTACCTTTAAACAAAATGAATTTATCATTCAATTATCTTTTTCATAATCCTTGGGAAAATGCTATTGAAATTATTTATCAATGAAAAACAATGATTTTTAATGTTGGATGTTAATTCTTCTTTTATATTCAAATCATTTTCTTTTAGAAAACTTTTAGAAAAAAGTGGTTAAGAGCTTAAAATATTATTTGCCAATTCTTTGAATATTACCTCAAGTTTTTTTATCTTTGCATTTATTTTATATTTAATGGTAAACAAATTAACACTTCGTTCTTGTAATCCTGAATTTAATTCATTTAACTTTCCAAAAATACCGCCTAACTGTGCTAAATGCGCCAACCATAATTTATTAAATAAACATTTTTGCAATTTAAATGACGATCTAAGACTTGGCCTCTGAATAGCCTTCGGAATGTAACAAAAGTGTTTCATGGTAACTGCCCGTTTGTTGGCATAAAATTGTAAATATTTTTGAATTTAAAGCTTGGCTTTTAATAAAATGAACGATTCACACAGCTTGATTCAAAACAGTTTTCAGGTTTTCGAGGATTGTCGGAGCTATTAGAGCTTCATGATGAATGGAGCAGTGAGTAAATTTAGTTTTCAGGGTGACTATTTATTTGAGAAATAACACCGGAATGTGTTCCTGTTAAGGCTGGAGCTCCATTACTGGTTATACAGCAATGCATTTATTCCAAGAAATATCATTCTCAGACAAAATTATCAATTACTTTAAAAATTTCATATGCAGTTGCTCTATCAGGAAGAGATTTACAAAATAAATAACTCTTTCACTATTTGAAAATTTCATTTGCAGTTGCTCTATCAGGAAGAGCCTTTCATACAATTGCAAGACAAAATACTCACTGTGTTTTATTTTTTGAATAGTGTCTCTTTTATGGAATTTGTCATTTAATGAATTCATCGGCTTACTGTATCATTTGATAACAGAATTTTTTAAAGTGAGCTGCTTTCTCATTCAATAGTGTTAAAACGATATCTTTAACTGTTGTTAATATTAAGATTTTCTTGAATAGTTTGAGCCTGCCCAGTCTTGGCAATTCTTAGGTTTACTAGGTAACTAACTAGCTTCCATCGCTTTTTCACTTGAAGTAACAAAACTGTTCATTACTTCACTATTTAACTTCGATAATTTCCTCTTAAAATGATTTCGATAATTTCCTTCTTCATATTTATACTTTAAATTGGCATGCTTAGATTTAAGATGTCTTTTAAAAACGATGAATTCATGCTTTGACTGGATAATAGTATACCGCAAAGAACATATTGAGGCCCAGGACCCATTTCATCTCAAATCACATTAAAAAGTAAGGAACTTCAAAGCAAGGAGATCAAATACTGCTGTCAGAGATAACAAATCCATGTTAAAAAAATTATTCTAGATGTAAATAAGTATATAGAGAGTATATACTTAATAAGTATTAGACCAACATGAGCACGGAAATGGTGGCGAGATAAAATGTAGACAAGCTAATAAATCAGTCAACTGTAATAGAATTAATAAGGTACTGTTATCTTTTTATAGGAAATTATTTTTTTTTTTTCCTATTAAATACAACATCCATTTCTATTACTCATTTTAAAAACATCATTTATGGCAAATTTTTTGTGTCTATGGCTAAAAGAATGCTTGTGAGTAGGAAAAATGGATTATTTTGCTAAAGTCTCTGAGCGGCTATTGATTGTGAACAAAGCTCAGATCGCATAAATTTATAAGTATTAGATAAAAAACTTAAGAAGCTGAGCTATTTAATTTATGAATTTAATAATTAAAAATACTTTGTTTCTTTGCGTTCTTTCTTTTCTTTCTTTCTTTTGTTTTCCATTTTTCTTGCATAATGTTGGTGGATAATTGCTGCTCTAGAATTTAAATAGTCAAATGATGAAGGAAGAATTTGAGCATTACTTCATGATTTAAGTCTACATGTTTGACCTTGTATCATATTTCTTCAATCAAAATTAGCTTTTTTTACATACACATATTTCTATAAATAGTGATCTAATTCAAAATGAAACACTGCAAATAGAGATCTCATGACTTTTGTTTGCATAATAATTGACATTGCCTACAAATGCTGATGGGCTTGAAAATATTTTGCTTTTGACCCGCTGTAAATTAATGTTACATTTGTATTTTGAAAGAGCAATAAAACTGGTCTTAAACTTGATAAACTGGTCTTAAACTGAAATAGTCTGTTAGAAAACCAATGAACACTTTGCAACTTCCGAGTAAACCCTGTAAACACTGTAGCTAAATTTACTAAATTTTAAAATCTATTCCCCTCTACTCAGCAAGTTATTCCCAGTTATTGCTGCTTTTATGACAGTAGTTTATGGCATGCTGGTTTTTCACAAGTTATAACTAGTGATTTTTAATCACATAAGCAGAAGTTTTTGAGCACTGGTTATTAATGATTTATGTGAACTTAGCTCAGTTGTTTTGGATTCATTGTATCATATATATATATATATATATATATATATTATTATTATATATTTTTTTAAGCTGGATTCTGATGACATTAGTAAAGCTGTGTAGAAATTAAAGGGTCTCGTAATTCAGACATCCATTTATTAGTAAGTTTCGGATTATTTTTCTCATTTTGTATATATATATTTATTGTATAATATAGTCAAGTTTGCTATGAAGTATTATTTTCATGAAGTTTTATAACTTTTCTTGTAATTATTGTAGAACCTTTTTTTTTTGATATTCATAGTTTTTTAAATCATTTTTAGAAAAAATTTTTTAGGATAAAAAATATAAAAAATATTGTGCTTTTTACTGTCTTTAACTATTATTTTATTTTATAATTAACTTATCGTATTGTAAAATTACTATACACTTAACTTTTAATTAATTTTATAATTAATTTTTAATTTTTATAAAATTATAGATGAAATATGAATAAATATTGATTTTATTAAGTGGAACGTTTTGCATAATAAAGCTCTGAATGCTCTGAATTTATAGGAAAGAGAAATAGTTCTTTCTCATTCTGGACAAGTAATTCAAGATTCTTCCTCAAGCACTCATCATGTACCTTCTTCACTCCCAGCCTGGTATGTATTATTTATATAGTAATATGTGTGTTATGATATGTAAATTTGTTACATGTGCTTTATTTTCCTTTGGTCATTACAGCCAAAACTGGGCAGGTAACTTTGACTTTCAAGTATCATTCAGTCCTCAAGAAAAGACCACAAAGGGAGTTTTATGGACTGTGAGTTTGATATTGATATGATTTTATGAATTTTTTGCTGATGTTAGATGTTATATTAGTGTGCTTTTGTTGAGTAATATGAATCCCCTGAGTGGCATGACTGCCTTTATCTTTGTTGCTTGTTATGTATTAGCTTATAATTTAAATTATTTTATTTTCTTACTTGCTCTAAAGATGTAAATATCACCTTAAACAGAAATTTACAAAAACAAGACAGAAATAAGCAATTATACAAAAATTTAGTTGTTAAAACTCTTTAAGTACAGTTTTCCATGAATAAATTCAAAAGACCATGCCACATAAAAGATTATTAAAAAAATTTAAAGTCACAACTTAATTATTTAGCAGTTGTCAGGTTAAAAATAACCTATTTTAGATAAGTATCATAACTATTTTTAATAGCATAAATTATCTAAAAATCAATTACTGGGCTACCGTTATTTTGGAGACCTACCATAGCTTTGTTGTTATTGTGATTTAATTGCTTTGCTTTATTTTATGCATTTTAGGGATATAAATTACTCCATTACTGATTTATGAACAAAAAAAAAAAAAAAAAAAAAAAAAAAAAAAAAAACTGCTACATGAAAGCTGTTACTAAAACAGCAGATAATAAGCATTTTTATTGCCATTGAGAAGTATCAAAATATTAAAAAAAAAAAAAAAAAAAAAAAAAAACTTTGTGTATATATAACTGCAGAATTTTCAACTCTCCCAGTTTAGGTGGGAGACTCCCGATTTCAGACCATACTGCCATCAACCCGATTTTTAGCATACATCTCCTGACTTTCTCTTCTTATTCTAAAAATTTCTCATATTTTTTATGTAGCTTGGCTTAATATTCCGTTATTTGCTCCCAGAAAAGTGATTTTGGGCTTCTGAAAACGCTTGTTTTTCTCTAGTTGCATGTAAAAATAACCAAAGTCGTTTCATCACTGAGATATGGTGCATTTCTGCTTTGTGCATGAGAGTCCAAAACACATGTTGCAAAACTTAGTGTTTGAGTTCTCTGATGAGAATGAAGCATCGCTGTGGATCATCTGGTATATATTAGCAAAACAGTTAAAGCAGACCAGGGTTGTTTACTTCGTTCGTCTTGGCAGTGAACAGCATAAGTTTCACATGCTTCCCAGAAACAGCTTAAGAAACTATGATCTTTAGTCCTAGTTATGTCTGCAAAAAATGTAAAATACTCATATATTTTTCAAAAATTGTACACAGATTACTTTCCTTCTGTTATTTCATCAAATAAATGTGATATTGCAATGTGTATCATTTGTCATTGTGATATTTCAATTTTCCACGGTGGAAGAGCCGATGTTCTTAAACATGTGTGTATACAAGGACAATGTGAGTTGTACTGGAAAAATACTGGAAAAAAATTTTTTTTTCCTAGAAAGAAGACCAAAAAGTTTTTAATATAAATGCCTGTTCTCTGCCTTTTTACTGGAGCACAGCCTGACTCTGAATGCATCGGTCATGCTGCAGCTTTTTTAGAAAAATGTTTTCCTGCCAGTAAAATCACTAAGAAATACTCAAAACAAAAATGGCTGCAATTGTAGAAGAAATGGTTTCAAGAAATTGATATGAAAAATAAATCTTCTGTTACTGATTGCATTAAAACAATTCCATTCTGCCTCCCTACGGATGGAAGCAATAATACTGATGCAAAAGTGTATCTAGTTGTTTCTTTTGTTTTAATGTAGAGTCTTCAGAAATTGAGTCTAGCTTACTTTCTGTCTCCACTTTAGAAGCGATTCAACAGGCTTTAATATATAGCACAGCTAATTATTAAAACTTTGAATAAAAGTGCAGTTTGTTATGATAATTGCTTAGTACTTAGTGCTGCAGTAGGTATTGTAGGCATGAAGATTTCTGTTGCAGGCATCCTAAAAAGAAAATTCATATTTGAAAATTATGAAATGCACCTGTCATCCCTTAAAAAAAAGACTGAAAAAGAGTCATCTTCTTTGCCAAAAAGTGCAGTTGAACACATTGGTATTTATTATTATGTTGAAAAGATTGCTTTCCAACCCTGCAAAATACTGAAATTAAAAAAAAAAAAAAAAAAAAAAAAAAAAAAAAACTTGAAATATACTATGTACACACTGGTTATCTTTAGAGAAATGTTTAGGTAGAATCTTCGACCAGTGGGATTTGCATTTTTTACCTTCTTATATTTTTTAAGGAAGTAAATGCTTCTAGAGTTAAGGTATAATGCCTGTTGAAAGCTATAAAATCCCTTGAATGAATAGAGATGCAGTTATTACTTCCATTGTTAAAAATAGGTGAGAGAAAAATTAAGTAATTTATGCACTTGTGGGCAATTTAATTGGCAATTCTCTAAATAATACTATAAAATATAAGCATAAAGCTCTCTCCCGAAATAGAAAAATTGCTTGACAAGGGACATATTTTCCAATTTTAAGTTTATCTTGTCAAGAAGAATATTAACAGAGCATCTTCGGACCTTAACAAAGTTTTTTGCTTTTTTGTACGCTCCATTTTGCCATCATTCATTTGATGTTCTTAGCATAATTCCACTGTATAGAATTACATTAATTCATGTTTTGCAATTAATTATTAGTTATCTAGTTAAAGTATTTTTTAATGATTAGGAAAACTGATCAGAGTATTTTTCTGTTATTAGAAGGTACAATCAATAAAACTTTTTTTTTTAAATTTAAGTATTTTTGCATTATTTGCATTTAAGAAATAATAACTGAACTTTCAGATATTAATTATATATTATTTAAGTTATAAATAGTAGATTTTAAAATATACATATTTTACAACATACTACATATTTTTATTATTTAAAAAATCTTTTTATCTTTAAGAAAATTCACCTGATTTCTTAAAAATGGTCTGAATTTTTAGTGCCGTAGGTTGGCAAGTATGTAACTGTGTGGTTATATGTAGTTAGCTGAAGTAGCCATTATACATCTGGGTTTCAAGCATATTTTCAATGCAAAAGACAATGCACAGAAAGTAAGAAGTGCAGGCTTTCTACTTGTCTCCCTTTGAGCGTGCCCTACCACATTCATACTCCCAGGTGGTGAGCATTCATTGGCTAAGGTCCCACTACCACCTCATCCCTCTCATTCTCTCTTCCATTCCTGCACAACACCTTATACTGATGACACACTGTATTCACTGCATGTATGAGGAATAATGATCGATGGATATACACAAGCCTTTTCAGAGGTGCATATGGATATGACTTTTTATTTATGGATGATAATGCTCATCAAATCAAGAAACTTTGTTTATGAATTCTGTGAAGATGAAAACATTGAGTGAATACCATGGCCATCAAAATCTTCTGAACTTAACCCAACACAGAACTTATGGACCACCTTGGAAAAACAGTTGCACAGAGGCATCCTTCTCGTAGAGATGTAGATGTCTCGAAGATCTCATAGCTGGAGAACTGGAACTTAGTTCCCCAAACAATGTTTGACATCATTACCAACATGAAAACTCATTGTGATATATTTGTTCAAGTCAGGGTGTATCACATTTTAAATTCATAAGTCATAATCTTTTTCTGACATCCATTTAAGCCATTTTTTTCATAAGCCATAATCTTTTCCCCATCACTTTTGAATGTTCCTTATGATATATTATTACCATATTTATTGTTTCATGGGACAGTTTTATTTCATATGCAGTGCTCTTTAAATTTTTTTTCTTTTTGTGTATGTGTTATGATGTTATGTATTATTCCACACAAATTCGTAAAATTATAGTGAACTACTTTTGAGAAATTTGTGATTTCATGCATGGAAAGATAATTTTGTCATGAGTGTAGCTCTGCATTTAAAATTTGCTTTGTAGCAGAAAATTATATGTTAATTACAGCATCTTCTTTAAAGCTCTACTAACCTTAAATGTAAATGTTATTAAAATATTATCTTTTAAATGCAAATTAGTTATATTAATGTTGCAAAATAAGACGTAATTCAGTAAAACAAATGTGAAAAATTTATTTTGTAAGTTTGCACTATCCTACAAACTATGATGGAATTTTTAGGGGAAATATTGGGCTAGGAGGCTGCTGTTCTTGGTCTTCTTATCATGATCTATTTAAGTAATTAGATTCCAGTAATAAAATAGTATTTTCAGACTCATTTGCATTGCAACAGTCTCATTTATATAATTATTCTTACTTGTCCACAGAACCTGCTGACTTATCCAGTCATTGTAGTAGTACTAGTAGTAGTAGTAGTAGTAACTTATAGAAAGTGGTGTATGGAGGGCAAAATGACAAGTCGCCAGCCAGCAGTGTGTCATCGACGGCACATTGATTCTAGAGGAGAGCGAATTTGCTATGCACCGTTCGCCATGACTGAAGAGCTACAGCAGTCAAAATCACCATCAGCTACGACAGTGGCGACCCAAACAGTGTTTCTCAACACACTGTCCAGCATGCATTGCTGCATATGGACCTACACAGCCGGAGACCGAAGCATGCCCGTGTACTGATGGCACATCGGACATTAGAAGAATGGAAGAAAGTTGCATGGTCCTACGAATTCGATTTCTGGCCCATCACATCACTGGGCATGTGCAACTGTGCCGATTTCCAAATGAAATCCTGGCTCCCGGATGCAAAATTGGACGGAGACAAGCTATATGGTATAGAAAGAAGAGTTTCCAATTCTGCAAGATCATTTCACATTCTTTCTGTTAGTGAAACATTAGGGTTATCTACATCTTCTAACATTCTCGTCTCCTGTTAATTCTTCAGATTGTAGCTTTTTTGTGGCTATATACTTCGTTGAAAGAAGGGTTTCAAGTTCTGCAAGATCATTTCACAGTCTTTCTGTTAGTGAAATATTAGGGTTATTTAAATCTTCTGAAAAAGTTCTTAATTCTAACAACCACTATGTCATCAAATATGTACTTCGCCATTGTGTTGCTCCTTTTCCTGCTCGCTTCCTAAGAATGCCATCAATTTTGGGAGTTCTTGCTGCTGTTGCTGCTTACCTAAATTGTAACTAAATGAAGCAGTTTAATCAATAATGGCAAATATCACATCCATTCTCCTCCCTTATATTTATTTATTAATATGTCTTTAAGATAGAAAATAACTATTTATTAATGTATATAGTTCATAATTAAAAATATTAACTCATTTTGTCATTAATTTTTTTTTTCAATTGACTTTAATTTCATTTCAAATTTAAACTGTTCAACAAAAGCTGGAGTCGGAGTTAACATGTTTTTTAGCAACTCCAATTTCTTTTACTCAAAAATTTACCTGACTCTGATTCCGACTCTACAGCCCTGGTTTCTAGATCCTTCTAGTCATACAAACAGAGTGACCAAAATAGACCACTGAATACAATTTCATTCAAGAGTTAACAATGAAACACATTTATTAATTTTTAATTTTTTATATATTTAGATACTTTTAGATGAAAGTAGTTTTTTCCATTGATTTGGCTTTTATAACGTGAATTTCATTTTTTTGTGCACTCAGCTATTCAGAATTTTCACCTATCTGGCATTTTCTGAACTTTCTGTGTATTCAAATTTTTAAGATATTTAGTTTAATTCTGTGGTACTCTTCTGTTATGAGGATCAGATTTAAAAATGTAGGTATGTATGCGTGGATGTATATCATGTATGCATGTATATATATACACATGCATGCATTCGTATATGTATACATATACACATGCATGCATTCGTATATGTATACATATACACATGCATGCATTCACACATGCATACAGCATACATTCATTCTGAGTCCAGTCCCCATAACAACCACCAGCCCACCAGCGGCCGAGCGGTAAAGTCGCTGAACACTGGTAGTTCGGTCCGAGGTTCGAATCCCGTGAACGGGCTGGCTGCATGGGCGTTTTCGTGGTTTTCCCCATGTGTAACATGTATACGAGCCAGTTTCCCTTAGAAAGTCCTCCACGAAGGCATCCCTCCTCTTAGGCAGATTGCCCTAGTGTGCTTTGCCATAATTAAATACACCCGATAACAAAACAGTACCCATTCTGTATAGCTTTAACATTAATTACTTTTAAAAAAAATAAAGTATAACAGACTGTACATATTGCCATGATTCTAGTATTCAGTTATTTATGAAGTCTGCTTTCTATGTGTGATCAAGTAAGCCACATGAAATATTTTTTATTTCAGTATTCAGATATAAAGGATAAGTTATATGTTGGAAAAGATGCCCCATGTCCGGTCAACTTTTCTGTTAATACTGTCATGTCTGATGATGTTTTAGTACGAGTTATGGCCCTGTATAGTTCACCCGAAAATGCTTCTGAAATTGTTCATCGTTGTGTTAACCATTCCATGGATGAAATTAGAAGAGGTATTATGTTTAAGTGAATAATTTATGTTGAAATTGAATTTTCATAATTTTTTTCTATAAATGTGACAGAATTAATAATTGTATCTGCAATGAACATTTTTAAAGCCTGCGCAAATTCATTATTATAGGTATGGGTACTTGAAAAAAAAAAAAAAAAGTAAATTGAGAAGTATGTAAATCACATGTGTTGAAAAGCAATTTATTCAGTTAGCCCCAAAATTTCAAAAATTTGTAATTTCTCATTTATTAGTACTTTTGATTGTAGTTTATAATATGGTTTTAGACCTCTATAAATGATTTATGAATCATTAGTGATCTCAAAACCAATGTTTTTCAAACTGTTAAGGGAAGTCATCACCTTTGCACAACACAAAAAGTAAGAATTTTGACTGATTTTCACATTTTAATAAGTCAAATTGTTATGGTCATAGATATATGAAATTTTCAGTGTGTAATCTCTATACATAGATAATTATGTTTCTTGATTTATTTTACTTATAGCATATAAGAATTTGTTTTATAAAGAAAAAACAATCTGTAGTTCCCCCAAAATTTAAAACTTGTACTAAAGCACTGCATGCAAACTGACAGTAATACAAATCTAGTTACAGTAATAATTTTTACAATTTTGTGATGAAACATCATTAGGTATGATTCTGCACCTATTTAAATTTTAAAATATCAAAGAATATTAACACTATTACAATAAGATCTTAGAAAACAGAAAAAGTCATAAAAATTTAAGTAAAATTTTATAAATATTTAAAAAATAATTTTTCAAAGAAAAAAGTAGATGCAATTTTTTCAGCAATATCATCATGTACTTACCCTGAAAATTTTAAATCAATAGCTATGATAGATTTTTTTTCGCGCGCAACTATGAAAATCACCATTTTGAGAAAAATGGTTTTAAAGTTTCAAACTTTTCAGTATATTTTCTCTCAGGTAACACTAAAACGGTTTAAAACTGCCCAAGTGCATTATAACTGCTCAACTGCATACACCATACCCTTCTGTTCTTCAACAAGCTGTTACTGCAACAAGTTTAGCTCCTTTTCTTGCTCGATTGTAGACATCTCTGCCTTTATTTCGGCTGACTGAATACGACGTTGATCAGTGTCTGCTGCAAACCTGACTGCATTATCACCAATTTGATATCCAAGTTCATTCCTAGTATGTAATCGCCCAGCTTAACCTTTGTTGTATATAATAACTGCCTCATTTACTCTCATTTACTGCTGTCTTAACAATATTTTAATCACACCCGGAATTTTTAGGACACAAATTCCAAATCAAAGCATTCAATGATTCATTTGGATTCTGTGTTTGCCCTCCTAAACATACCGTTACGCCATCCATTGCCTGCTGTAAGAGGGCGCTGTTTAATCTTGTTAGTTTTTCTGTATCAAAGTATATGTATAGTGAGTAGGAATAAATGTCTTGTCCTGAAAGGTAGCATCAATAATTAAATGAGTGTGGAGTTCAATTTTCGCCCCCTTCTCAAAAGAGGTGAACATTTTATTTGGTGTCAGAAGTAGGATAGGGTGAGAATGTGGTGGTAATAATGTGTATCATCGAATTTTGTGTGAAAAAATAGTGTGGTAATATGGGAATATGTGTTGCGCGGAAATCGAAAGTGAAGGTGTTCCATTGTGTAGATTGTGGTAAGTAGTTATTTTGGTTTGTTGTAATAATGTTTAGTGTTAAATTCTATTTATTAGTGTCGTGTATTGAGGTGTTCCTACTTGATAGTTTGAGTTGATAGTGTTTGTGTTGAGTTTGATTGTGTTCGTTTTTATACTCATCGTGTTCTAGTTGTCAATTCAAGGTTGTATTTTTCTTTGAATTAAGGAGTCTGAAATCGCTTAAGTCATTAAAAAAAGACGAGTTGATGCTCGTTGCGGAGGAATTAGGATTAGTAATTCCGAGCAGGGTGAAAATTGTTACTTTGAAAATTTTAATAGAAAGTTCAGAAGTTTCTGCAAATGATGCTGAATTTGTACAAAATGTTATTGATAATATTCTCGAGGAAAAGAAAATGCAAATTGAGAAACAAAATCAGAAAACGAAATGAGATTAGAGTTAGACAAAATAAAACTTTCTCAGTTAGAGGCGGAATTAGTTTTAGCTAACACTGGAAAAGACTTGCTACAAAATCCAAATGTTGAGATGGCCAACTCAAATCGCAAATGTTGAGATGGCCAACTCAAATCGAAATATGGAAAATATAATTAAAAGTATAAAAACATTGACAATTTCTGTACCTACTAAAGCAGAATCCTTTAATCTCTTTTTCCAATTGAAAGGGCTTTTAGGACAAAACAAGTACCTGAAGATTTAAAAGCAGAAATCCTATTAAATATCTTGGGAGAAAAGGTCACTAATTTAATGGTATATGTGAAGGAAGAAGATATTAATAATTACGATAAGCTAAAGTCCATGATTTTAAAGGAATTTCAGCCACCCCTCAAGAGTGCTTAAATCATTTTCGTTCTACACAAAAATTGTCATCTGAGAACTTTGTACAGTTTGCATCAAGGTTAAGTGCAAATTTTGAATATTATTGTCAGTTGAGAAATGTAAAAGATTTTAAATCGTTATGTGATCTTATGGTTTGGGATAAAATATTCAGTGAACTTGATCGTGAATTAAAGACCCATATAGCAGTTAAACAGGGAGAGAAATGGTTCGAACCCCAAACTTTAGGTCGTGAATGCGATATTTATTTGTCATCAAAAGGTAAACAAAAACAGAATCCCTTTTTGCAAAATCATTTACAGGTAACGATAATAAAAAAGTCGATGGAAATAATGTTAATTAAACTTCGTAATTATAAGTACAAAAATATTTCTAATGTATATGTATCTGGAGCAAAAGATCAAACATGTATTTTGTATAAAACTAATCCAAACCACTCGATACAAAATTGTCCTAATTTTAAAAGGCTTTCAGTAAATGAGCGTGTTGAAATTATTAAGCAAAATAACCTTTGTTTCATATGTTTTTCTTCGAAGTGTAATGTGAAAAAGTGTAGAGCCTGAAATTGTTTCTGTGGGAAAGCTCATCATTCTATGATTCATTTTTATAAACAAAATAAACCTCTTTCCAAAGCAGAAAACGGTGACGCCAAACATGTGTAGTGTATACGTTAGCTCTGTTGATAAAACAAAATTGAATAAAATGACTCTCATATTATGCGATAATGGCTCTGAAAGAAGCCGGTGTACGAAGTCTCTTGCCAATTGCTTAAAATTAAAGGAAAGTTTGTCGTCAGTTTTTTCCTTTAGCTCAGCAAAGCCTACTGAGAAATTATACGAAGTAGCAGAATTAAAATTATCTAGTAGACCTAATCAGCGTATTCAAATTGAAGTGCTAGTGGCCGATAGATACTATTACTATTACAGCGGCATCTGTTTCTGTTCCAAATGAAGAAGTACAAAATATTATGCAGTCCTGCGGATTAGCCAACTGCTGTGACAGTGATATAAACATTGAGATATTAATTGGGGCAGATGTGTTTTGGCAGAATATTGAAGCCTCAGCTTTCGAAAAAATGAACCAGGAAATTACTTGCGTGCCAACAATTTTCGGGTTTGCTTTACAGGGAAGTCAAGATGTTTACAAGCCAAATGTTAAGACTGCAGTTTCAGTAAAATTTTGTGTAGCTGCTTCAGATGTTCAGATATTGTGGGAGCTTGAGGCTTTAAAGAAAATGAAGAGTTAAATGTAGTTGATAAAGCGCTGATAGATGAATTTGAGAAAAATTTAAAATTCGTGAATGAGAGATACGAAACTGATTTATTATGGAAGTTTAGTTACAATGAATTAGGAAATAATTATTTTTTAGCTAAAAAGAGGTTTGATGAGTTAGGACAGGATTTTTCTAAAAATGATTGAGTTGCTAATGAGTATAGGAATATAATAAATGACCAAAAACAAAATGGAATTATTGAGGAATGTGGGAGAGATGAGCATGAGTATTTATGCCTCATAGAGCAGTTGTTAGGGAAGATAAAGAAACAACTAAAGTTCATATAGTCTTTAACTATAGTTCAAAATCTAAAGGTAATCATTCTTTAAATGATTGTTTGGAAATTGGCCCAAATTTAAATCCAAATATTCTTGATGCGATTCTAATATTTCGTAATTACAAAATAGCATTTCCCTTTGGATGTAAAAGTTCCCCTTTCATTTTGAGTGCTACGATAAAGAAAGAGAAAGAAATATAAAAAAATATGAGGAAAGTAAACCAAAGTCATTTGAAATGTTAAATTCATCACTTTACGTAGACGATTTCTATTATGGTGGAGACAGTGTGAGAGAATCATTCGATGCTGTATTAATATTAAAGAGTGGTGGATTTAATTTAAGGAAACTGAGGTCGAACAGTAGAGAATTAGAAAAATTGTGGATAGAAAATGGACTTAGTGGCAGTGAGATAGTGGGAGTTCAACAGCTGAAAGTTCTAGGGTTGAATTGGAATCCTGATAGAGATGAGTTAGTTGTCGTTGGAGGTGAAGGGTTTGGTGGATTCGTGGAAAACGTTGCAACCCACTAAAAGATGTGTTTTACAGACAGCTGCAAGAATCTTTGATCCTATTGGTTTGATTGCACTGTTTGTGATACTTATAAAGTTATTGTTACAAGAAATTTGGGAGAGAGCATGTGATTGGGACGAAGAATTGCCGGAGGACTTGCAGCAAAAGTGGATAATGTGGTGTAAAGAAATAGAAAAATTAATAGACGTTACTATTCCGAGATATTGTTTTTTGGATTCTGAGAATGAGCAATCGGAAGTGCATGTGTTTTGCGATGCTTCACCAAATGCTTATAGAACTGTTGTTTATTTTAGATATTGTGAGAATAATGGGAATTACAGAGTATCTTTTATAATGTTGAAGAGTAGAGTGTCACCATTAAAGAAAATAACGCTGCCACGGTTGGAGCTAATGGCCTTGGTAATAGGTGCTAGAGTGGGAAATTACCTTAAGAATGTTTTT